CGCGTTGTCGGGGGGGTTGATTCCTGTGGGTCAGGGTTGTTCCTGCTGGGCTCAGGGTGGGTCAGGGGTTCTGCCTGTGGGTTCCTGTGGGTCAGGTAGGTCAGCCAGTAAAGTGTCAATTAATCTAAAAACTGTTCTGAGTCAGATTCTAACGACTGATCCGGAGGAGCAGACGGACTCACCTTTACAAGACGACTCTCTGCACCTGCAGCCGCACACACCTGTGCCAGGTAACTGCTCGCAGTCATTAACGTACCTGTTGGCGTTCAGGTGGACACGTTGGGGTCTCAGGTTCTGTTCAGGAAGGCGGTTGATGTTAACATGTCCCAGGTTATGATATGGTGCTGTTTCCTGTGAACAGCGTCCTCGGGGAGTCTGGAGCTGTATCCTGCCTCTCAGACGACAGACAGCCACCAGTCTCACCTGCTCTCGCCGTCGCCCACAGACATCGGCTCCTACATTCCTACACAGATGGTTTCTACGGCGCAGTGAAGGAGCTCCTCGCCATCAGCTGGAGGAGCTGCCTCCGCTGGATTCAGGGGTGATAAAGACTCTCTGGGACACGAACAACGATTAAGAGAAGATTCACTTTTGATACGACAATCAGCTGAAAATCAACACCAATATGTATTTTTATTAAAATAAATGTTTTCGTAATATTCAGAAATTGTACATTAAGTTGTGTTACCTGCATTTATTTTATGTCACTGCCTTTTAGATGCTTTTTCACTCTTAATGACAACAAACTAAAGACTACTTCAGGAACGGGTGTGAGTTTCATTAAAGCCGGTTTACAGCTGGTGTGTCTTTGTTTGGGTGAACTTCAATATCACCAGACTCCATTCAAAAATATCACCATTTTAAGAGTTACTGAGTGAAGAGAAACTTTATAAACTTTGTGAAACGTTATTTACCACAGATTGTTGATTAATTGGGCCTTCTTGTAAATTCGGGAAATGTTACACGTTAAGATATTTATTACGTAGTTATTTCCCAACGTGTTTAATGGTGGAACAACCTCATCGGGTCTAAAGTTAACAGATCAGAAGTGGAAGCAGATGTTAATATCAGGTGTAAACTAACAGCTTCCTAAAATAAATCAGCATCCAAACATTTAAAGTTTGTGTCAGACGGGAAAATAATGAAAGTTCAGTTCAAAGTTTCTTCCTCCGAGTTTCCTTCCCGCCTCTTTTTCTTCTTCACTTTGACTCGTACGTGTTGCTGCTCGCCGTTGATTTGAGCTTTCGGAGAACCGACAGAGTCTTCTTCATCCGGTTTCCTCTTTTTCGTCTTCTCCGCAACGGCGCTCTCCTCTTCCTCCGCCGGTTTCTTCTTCTTCTTCTTCTTTTTCTTCTTCGTTACCTCCGAGTGGGGGGGTTCTGCCACCGGGGTCGGGAGCGTGGACGACAGCGAGGGTAAGAGATCTTTGATGGACACCGCCGCCTCCTTCAGCCTCGTTTCCATCTCGCTGTCGCTGTCGCTAACAGAGAGATTGTTAATGTTAATTAAACAATAAACACGCTGATCTGTAATTAAATGCAAAAAAGAAGAAGAACCTTGAGCTGGGAACGGGCCGACGCCGCGGAGGAGCGGGAAGATCGACGGCGGCGGCCTGTCCGGGGACGGACGTGGAAAACAGACGAAAGCCTGAAAAAGAACAAATTATTATGATATCATGTAACAAACTGATGCGAGCTGCTACTAACATCAGCTCAGCTTGTTTCTCTGATAACTTAAGATCCAGACATGTTTATTGATTATTGATCGAATCAATTACATATAGAACTTTACCTTCATCGTCGTCATCATCACATTTAGTTTCCACGCAGGATGAAGTTTCCGTCTCTGTAATGAAACTGTAACAGATATTATAAATCAGATTCGTACTTTTAGTTTTTACACATTTTTGATACAAAAACAAACAAATAAAGTTGAAAGTTTTTCTTTTATATTAAATAAAATCTGTCTCACCTGTCCAGAAGATTTCCTAACTTTTTAGCGACGTGCGTTCGAAACCCGGCGGTGACCTGGAGCTCGTTTCCATCGTGTTCGTGGTCAGCGACGACGACTCTGTTACAGAAAGACAAACTTATTTCTCTGATTCAAATATTATAATAATTATATTATAATTATACCAATTTACACAGTATTA